TATGATAAAGTTGATAGAGATCATGCGCATGTTATTCGTATCGATCATAGTAAATGCATATGAGAAAATTAACAAGCAAGTCTTTTATTCTTTATTCATAATTTAATGTAAGTTATTATTTCTAACTATATTAGTTACTAACAAATATGATTATTTGATATTGTAGATGTTTAAAGTCAAGACACCAAGAGACAAGACACCAGGAGACAAAGAAACCAAAACACTATATAAGATACAATTATATGTGATGTTATATAATGTTTGTAGGTTGTTTTGTGTCATTTTCTTTTGATGTAATATATATATATATATATATATATATATATATATATATATATATATATATATATATATATATATATATATATATATATATATATATATATATATATATATATATATATATATATATATATATATATATATATATATATATATATATATATATATATATATATATATATATATATATATATATATATATATATATATATATATATAATGTTTGGTTCTTAATTCAATGTAATACAAAACAATTATTTGTTATGATATAATTTACGTTTCTGTGAACGCTGTCCAAAATAATATATACCAAAAAGGTACTATTGAGAATCGAACGTGAAACCTTTAATATATTACAACAGTTAGTTAAAGCAACTGTGGTAATATGTCGTGCGCTTTCAGGTTTTCTACAACGGTCATATGATCATGATTGTATGTAACATATACAACTACATGGTACGTAACAACGGTCGGTCTTGCGTGATAATATATTTTTTCTAACTATCGTTGTATATGTTTTCCGTAATAGTGAAATCTACTATTTTGACATATTATCAACATTTAAAAAATTATTTTAAAGTTTATGTATAACTTTTGAAATTTTGTTATTTGCAAATTATATGATAGTATAAGTTTTTATTCACGTAAAAAAAATAAATGATTTGTAAAATTGTATTTTAGTTTTTAAAATTTAAAAATAATAAAATTTGTTTGATATCGTAGTTTTACAAGTTTATTATTAAAAGCTATTTTTTATTAAGAGTTTTGAAAACAAAATAATTATAGTAAATTTTAAAAGTTTTGGTTTGGATTTTTTTGTTTAGAAATTATGAAGAAAAAACAAACAAGAAAAAGTGAAACACTTTCTATTAATGCTAATTAATAATATTCTATAACTTTAAAAAAGAAATTTAAAAGTAAGATTGTCAAAGTTTTTTTTTCAAAACTCTTTTCTAAAATTAATTTATAAAATTATTTTTGAAAACTAAAAATGATAACTCATTTAAACGAGCATATTCTTTATACAATTTTATAATTCTTTTCTATAAAAAATACACTATTTTTTTATAATGATTATTGATCTTATCAAACGATCAGAATCTGAGATGAGTTAAGCACAAACGTCTGCAATGCTAAGTGTGAAAGAAGAGGGGGTACCTGCAAGGCACTCCGATACTAAAGTAATAAAACGAGGAAGAGAGCAAGCAAGTACAAAATATGTGTGTTTCAAGGTGAAAAATTGGATACCTGACCCTCTCAAATTATAGGGTTTTTATAATGCCACCAGCGCTTGGCCATTGGTCCCTATTTTCAGAGCGAGATAATCGTTTCCCGAAGAATAGGTAACTGCCAGAAATAGCCGTTGGGACGGGCAGACGTGCCCATAACTAGTCGTTGGCAAAGGCAGGGACTAGTAACTGGCACAAGCGTCTTGCCTGTTTTTGGATTCGGAACCGTGTGTGACGGGCAAAGACTGACGGGGAGAAGTGTTGCGACCAAGGGTAAATAGGTCAGTCTCTTTTGTTGGAGGGGCAAAAAGGTAAATTTCCCACTAAAGAAGTTGAACTTAGACAATTAGGTCGTTCTGAGAGCAGAAGTGAACTGAGTTATGTCTAACCATTGAGTCAGTCCAGAACAATTATATTATCTGTAAATAACCGTTGGGATAATCGTTTTCTGAAGAATAGGTAACTGTCAGAAATAGTCGTTGGGACGGGCAGACGTGCCCACAACTAGTCGTTGGCACAGGCAGGGACGTAGTAACTGGCACAAGCGTCTTGGCTATTTTTGGATTCGGAACCGTGCGTGACGGGCAGAGACTGACGGGGAAAAGTGTTGCGACCAAAGGTAAATAGGTCAGTCTCTTTTGTTGGAGTGGCAGAAAGGTAAATTTTCCACTAAAGAAGTTGAACTTAGACAATTAGGTCGTTCTGAGAGCAGAAGTGAATTGAGTTATGTCTAACCATTGAGTCAGTCCAGAACAATTATATTATCTGTAAATAACCGTTGGGATAATCGTTTTCTGAAGAATAGGTAACTGTCAGAAATAGCCGTTGGGACGGACAGACGTGCCCACAACTAGTCGTTGGCACAGGCAGGGACGTAGTAACTGGCACAAGCGTCTTGGCTGTTTTTGGATTCGGAACCGTGCGTGACTGGTAGAGACTGACGGGGAAAAGTGTTGCGATCAAAGGTAAATAGGTCAGTCTCTTTTGTTGGAGTGGCAGAAAGGTAAATTTTCCACTAAAGAAGTTGAACTTATACAATTAGGTCGTTCTGAGAGCAGAAGTGAATTGAGTTATATCTAACCATTGAGTCAATCCGAAATAATTATATTATCTATAAAATATATTTTTAGATAACATATTTGTGAATGTCTATATTAGTTAAAGATAATATAATACATTAGATGTTTTAATAAAATCCTCGATGAGAATATTTGTCCATAAAAAAGTATAGGTAAGTATTAAAGTTTCCAATTATTTTAATTAAATACAGTGGTGCGTATTTAGAGAATCAAGGAAAATGAAGACTATTCTCTCTATCCTCCTCTCCTCCTCATTTATAAACTATTTTTCAAACACGTGTTTATATATATATATATATATATATATATATATATATATATATATATATATATATATATATATATATATATATATATATATATATATATATATATATATATATATATATATATATATATATATATATATATATATATATATATATATATATATATATATATATATATATATATATATATATATATATATATATATATATATATATATATATATATATATATGAAAATTTAACTGATATATACTATTTAAATTAAACGAGTATAAATCATTGATGTAGAGTTAAATTTTTTTACGGTAGCATTTATTTACATTTTTGTTTTAACGTAATAAATTTACATTTATGTAATTATATTAATAAATATCAATTGAGATATTTCATCCACTATTTAATATTAATAAAATGATACAATTAAATAAATAATTAATTAATTTTAAATTGAAAAAAAATATATATTACACAAATTTTGTTGCAATATAGGTAATTATTAGAGACCGAGTACATTTTTCTTATATTAAATTTCATATGAATAAAATAAAATTTCAAAATAAATGTACAATATTTTCATTTAATAAATATACTTTATTTTAATTCTATCTACAATTATATTTTAATTTTTAAATTTTGATATTATAATTAATTTTTCAATAATTTAATGAACAACATTTTATCTTGTAAAAATAAATAAGTGAAATATTGCATTTCTCCAATATATTTTTCATATATTAATTGAATTGGATTAACATAAATTTAACAATCTAAATATTTAATAATTTATAAACTATATTTTTAAAAATATATATTTAAAATTAGACTTAATTGATCATCCATATAAAAAATTATATTTCATAGGAATCACATTTTTTTACCAAACCAATCTTAATGCATTTCATTAATCAAATATTATTCAATACAACGAGAAATCAAATTAAAAACACTATATAGTTCAAGAAATAATTGATCATACATATAAAAAATTATATTTCACATTAATCACATTATTACTTTAATAGGATGGAATTATCTCATTTTCTTATTCTTTCTTTCTCAATATTTTAAAATCCGATTTGGATCGTCCAATCATACCGGTATGATTACAAATTGAAAGACAATACAATAGTTAAAATTTTTCTAGTAAAAATCGATATGATCCAACTGATTCACCAATCAATTCAATGAATTTGTATGATTTTTTAACCGAAAACTGATTTATTTATGTATTTTTTTAGCTTGCCAAAGTACTATCATTTTGGTGCTGAGTAAAATATATAAAGTTAAAAGAAAAAAAAAAGTCATTCTCATTCATTCACATTTAAAAAACCTTTAAAATTTATTATAATGTATTGTTATAACTTATTTGACTTCTTATATTTTGATTTTCAAAAAGATTTGAAACTTGTTATATTTGGTATGAAATTTAAGTTAAATATTTTTTTTATAAATAAATTTTATTTAAATTTGTATTAATTAAATTAACAATCTTGTTCCTTTTATTCTCTTTCATATATAAATTTTGAATTTTAGATTCATTAATAAATAATAAATAACAATGTATTTAGACTCTGTACAACTCTATAAATTAGTTATTTAATAAATTTAAAATTTAAAATTTATTTATAAAAGAAAATGAAGAGAGTATAATTTATTCAATAATTTATTAATCCAATAAAAAATTCCATAATTTTACCGGATCCATATCAATCCGGGTTTTTAAATACTTGTGTCTCTCCTCTCAACAAACCACTTTACACAAGAATTCATATTCTCTCCTTTTGCCATTAATTGCATTCACAATTTACATATGGCTATAGAAGATGCCACACCATAGAATCCAAATACAAAAAATGTCATTTTTCTCTCTCCCTTGTACTATATATATAACCCCTTTCACCATCTTCCTTCATTGCATAAAAAAACTACTTCGTCTCTCTTCTTTAATCTTTGACTTGTATTATCACCATTTTCGCCTGAACTTCCTAACTCTTATTATTCAATTGTGTTTCTTGACTTTCATAATTTCACTTTCACTAATTTAACTTTTCTAATTGCACAAGTTTCTTCCTCTTAATAAACTCATAATTAACCATCTTTATACTCCACCTCTCTTGTGTCCACTAAATTCAACAATTACTATGGTTGTTGAGAAGAATGGTAGCAAGAATCATCATCACCAAACATTTGATGTATCCATTGATCAACAATTTGATTCTAAGTTTTTCGATGATGACGGTCGCGTCAAACGAACCGGTAAATATTAGTCTCTCTTTTTACTTGTAATTGCGCGCTGAGTTAGGCTCAACTCAAATTCTAATATTTCTTTACAGGCACATCTTGGACTGCAAGTGCCCATGTAATAACAGCTGTGATTGGTTCTGGAGTGCTGTCTCTAGCTTGGGCTATAGCTCAGCTTGGATGGATTGCTGGTCCTGTTGCCATGCTTCTCTTTGCTTGGGTTACTTATTACACCTCCATTCTTCTATGTGAATGTTATCGTAATGGCGATCCCATCAAAGGCAAGAGAAACTACACTTACATGGAAGTTGTTCATTCAAATCTTGGTAAATCTTGATTCACCTACCTAGCTAACCTTATGTAAAAAAAATTGAGTTCTATATCAGAGTTTGAAAATTTGAAATCTGTGTTTCATTCAGGTGGTTTTCAAGTCCAGTTATGTGGCATAATTCAGTATCTCAACCTTGCGGGGGTTGCGATCGGATACACGGTAGCATCTGCCATAAGCATGATGTAAGTTTAATGGTAATTTTAGCTAAGAAATCCAAACTTGAAGAAAAGCTATTGGTCTAATTGGCTTTGATTTGTGTATGAAACAGGGCAATTGAAAGGTCAAATTGTTTTCATAGGAGTGGAGGAAAAGATCCATGTCAGATGAACAGCAACATTTACATGATTGCTTTTGGTGCAGTGCAAATTGTATTCTCTCAAATTCCAGATTTTGATCAATTATGGTGGCTTTCCATTGTTGCTGCTGTTATGTCCTTTACATATTCGACAATTGGTCTCGGCCTTGGTATTGGAAAAGTTATAGGTATGTATAATTTCTCTGTTTTTATCATTTTTTTCATTAATTTTTATATTCGATCATGCGACATACTAATTCAAGGGGTAATTTCACCGTTCACTTGCAACAGTCCCGTGTAAAGTCAATCAGAGTTTTTCTCTGTATAAACCCGATCCAATATAGAAATTGTTGCACACTCTCAAGACTCCGATCTTCACTAAAATATAACAATGCTAGCTCCGCACAGCTAGCTGTTCTTTTGTCTTCTATTTATATATAAACTTTATTATATATATATTTATGAATATATTTGGACAATATATAATAGAGAACAAAAAGTTTGCTGGAACCATTACTGGGGTAAATGATGTGACAAAAGCTCAGAAAACTTGGGGGAGTTTGCAAGCTCTTGGTGACATAGCTTTTGCTTACTCATTCTCTATGATTCTTATAGAAATTCAGGTATTAATATTTTTTTATAAAGAACAATCCTCCTTTCGTAAAAATCGATCAAAAATTTGAGGAGTTATATTACATTGTGATGCAGGACACGGTAAAAGCACCACCTCCGCCAGAGTCGAAAACAATGAAGAAAGCTACATTAATCAGTGTTATAGTGACCACATTTTTCTACATGCTTTGCGGTTGTTTTGGATACGCGGCGTTTGGAAATTCAAGTCCTGGAAACCTTTTAACTGGTTTCGGATTCTATAACCCATTTTGGCTCATTGACATAGCCAATGCTGCCATAGTGATTCACCTTATTGGTGCATACCAAGTTTATACTCAACCCCTTTATGCTTTCGTCGAAAACTCCGCCATGAAAAGATTCCCTAACAATTATTTTATGAATAAGAACATAAAGATTCCAGTCCCGGGTTTACATAGGTATAAACTCAACCTTTTCAAATTGGTTTGGAGGACAGTTTTTGTAATAGTAACAACTTTGATATCAATGCTTCTTCCATTCTTCAATGATATTGTTGGACTTCTTGGCGCACTTGGATTTTGGCCTCTAACGGTTTATTTTCCGGTGGAGATGTATATAGTTCAAAAGAAAATACCAAAGTGGAGCAGAAAATGGATTTGCCTTCAATTGCTTAGTGGTGCTTGTCTTATAATCAGTATTGCAGCTACGGTTGGTTCTATTGCTGGAATTGTCCTTGATCTTAAAGTTTTTAAGCCATTCAAGAGTATCTATTAATTCAATAGTAAAATTGCAATAATTGTGTATGATCAACATGATTTTAGATTTTTATGACTCACAATTTCTGGTAAAGCTCGTGTAAAGAGATGAATATTGAAGGAGAGAATATTGTACACAATTGTAAGACTATTTTATTTGAAGGAAAATATTTATATTTTATGGTTCAGTTCTATAATTATACTTGTTATAGTATATTTGTAATGGTAAGTTTGAACCTTGAAAATGAAATAGTTTCTTCTCATTTTTCCTTCCTTTAGACCGATAAATATGGAATAAAGGAAACAAAGTTTGTTGACAATTGTAATATTATATAAGTGTTCTTGGGTTTATTAGTGTACCTAAAGTTTGAATTTAGTCCTTTGCTAAGAAATTATAAGATGGATAACATAGGGAGAAGCTTGTTATATATATTTTGCAAATGAAGAACATTCTTTTAAATAAATAAAAACTGGAGAACAAAAACACATTATTTTAAATAAAATAAAAACTTGAGAACCTGAGTAATATTATAAGAGATATAATATACCTTATCTAATAGGTATGTGTTAATGTTGTTACTTTTGGGTTGATTGTATTTTGCAAAATAGCAATATGAAAGAAGGATTCAAGTTTGTCAAGCTGCTTCAAGATGTTTTTATTGTGCATAAAAGACTCATGTTAGATGCGATGTCACAACATGTGAATACGACATTTAGGCCTTCCTCACCAGGTCAAATTGTTATGTTTTAAAATAAAATTTTTATTGAAGATTCAGTTATATTTTATTATTTTTATTTAGCAATATGATTATATTATTTATTGGACCGCTGTGAAGATCAAATCAGATTTAAATGTGACTTAAATTTGAAGTTGAATTAAACCAAATCGTATATTTCTGTTGGAGATATTTATGGAACCAATCTTATCCTACAGATTGTGCAAAATCTTTGGATAGAATTAAATCAAAGATCCAAGAAGAAAAACCCATAATACTTTTGCTATATAACGAGCTCAAATCCTACTTTAAAAAGCAAGCAATATATTGAAGATCTTTACCGTGCTAGGATTTATTTGAGTCCTTGTTATTGTTGTATGTACACCACACTATATTTTAGTAACTTGACATAGTTGTAGGCTTGTCTAGTTGAGTTGTAATATTCAACATTGATTATTGGATTATAATATCCAATCACGGATTGTGTGATTGAGAAGAAATTGAGAGATTCTCATATTTAGAGGGAGACCTAAATAAAAAATCATTGTGTCATATCCTAAATTTTTCCCACCTACTTCATCTGTGTTCATCCATTTGCATTCATTCACCTGCATCTCATTATTTGAATCAATTCCTTATCACTATTTCGTTTGGTCATAAGGGTTTTATTTTCCATGTATAATTCAAGGTTAATGGTCACCTTGTTTGATTTAGTTGTTCTGACCGGTCCCTTCATTACTCTATTCATTACATGTTCATAATCAAGTAGTGGATTTGAGCTTCGTTTAACCTTTGTTAAGTTGATTGATTAGGATTTTCTTTGTTATGAATTTTCACAAGACCTCTTTTAGTTGATTTCAATCAATTAGAATCCCACTACCATTCATTTATGCATACATCTATCACACACTGTGTTCATTCATACATATAATTTCTAGCATACATCTCCATATTAACAATCGTCTTTAATCACATGGAGTGCTTGTTAGCATGGATGTTCATAAATTTGTTTTATAATTTTCATTAGAGGATTAACTCTAATTGATTAGAAGGGGACTATGTCTTTGCATTCCATTTTAAAATAAGTTATTGTTCTATTTGATATTTGATTTTGTCTTAGTTTTGTTTTTGTTTGTTAAAGTCTAGCGAGAAGTTTTAGGTTGATTTGTAATAATAATAATAATTGAAATTGAAATAGTAATTATTATTATGATAATATTGTTTTTTTTATTCTACCATTTTGAATTAGGTAAGTCAAAATATTTAGTCTCATCTAGAAAAGAAATAAACATTGTGTTTTTACATTAAAAGTTCAAGAATACGTCGTACAATTTTTTTACATTAATTTTAATCACAAAACAAAAATAAAAATTTTAAAAAGTGGGATCCTCCAAACTTGCAAGTCTTGATTTTTTTTCTGCATTTTGTCTTGACCTTATGCGTGAGACCTAGGAGAGCATCTTTTCTCTCCTTCTGATTTTTAGAGCAGAGAGATTTGCCATTTACTATTGCAGCAGCAGAACAACAGTTGGTATATATTTTCTAGAAACAACCCATGAACCAAGAAATCAAACAGAGAAAGCAATTTTTTTTACTATCATTAGTTTAAGGAACTTAGCAGGAAATTGGTATCAGGACCTCAAAAAATGAACCATTCAAAAATCATATTACATCAAACACTATAAACCTTAAATGCCTCAACATACAGAAGATACGTATAATAATAACAGTATAAAAGAAGGAAGGGGTAGCAGTCAGGGGGATCAGAAAAGAAAATTCAAAAAAAAAACATATCGAGAGAAAAAAAAAAAAAGCCTAAAAACAAGAATCATACTTTAAACGCGCCACACAAGAAAACATTCAGATTTTCACACCAAGAGCATCATCCACTATCCATCATGATTAACTCAAAATCAAGGTTCAAATGACAAGATTCGGTTAGAAGAGGAAGCTTCGAACACGAGTGTAAGTAGAGTTTGCACCTAAGAGGTGGGGTGAATTAGGTACTTAGAATATTTTTCTGGATTTTTAATGGTTTTATGTTTTACTTTTCTAAGTGATTACTATGTGATGAAAACTGTATATTCGAAAAGTAAAAGACACGAGAATATATTCTGATTCCCCTCACAATCCGAGAGTACTCTAGGACTTAGACAAAACTCTTCCTAGCCTTTCTATACAGGCACTAACAAATCAATACCAAGAACAACCTCTTAAATTTTTCACTAAGTCTAATTGAGAACAATCCTCTCACAATGGACCTCTTGTTTCACAACTAGGATAACAAGGAATACAACTTCACAATCTTATTTTCAACAATCCTGGAAAAGTAAGATGTGACAAACAGTGTATAGTCTGAATTTTTACAAATATTGATATGAAGATTACAATGTATCAATCCTTAGATTGATCTTCTTTTCCAAAAATGCAATTTACAATGCTATAGTAGTGCTCAAGTGTTTATGAATAAAAGAGAATTTTTCTGACTTGATATCAGAACAATGTGCAAAAAAATTTCAATGAAAAGTTAAGTATCAAAACACTTTGTTTGAAAACAAGAGAGAGTAAAAAAGATGTTTAATTGCTATGGAAAAGGTGAGAAATGAATTCTGAAAATTGATGGTATTTATAGGTGAATTGCACTTGTTGAAATGAGTAAAAAGGCTAAACAATGCAATGACTCAAGGTGTAAAACAATGGCCAGTTTAAATCAATGAAATTTGAAAAATGACACTAGTTCAGTGATGTAACCGGTTACCTTAAGGATTTAACCAGTTACATCAGTTGTAACATGAAGATTTTTTAAAAATTTTGCCCATGTAACCGGTTACATGAATGATGTAACCGGTTACATCACTGAAAACTTGCGTAAATACAAAAGAGACAAAAACAAACAAAAACTCATGTAACTGGTTACCTCCTTCATGTAACCGGTTACGTCACTAAAGGTGGTGAAATATTTTTTTCAAAAACAAGTAAAAAACAAGACTAAAAGGTCTATAATCAAGGGAATGAAAATGAAAATTGTTGAGTGAGTTTGAGCACTAAAAACTATCAAAGATTAAATTGAAGGTTTGTACCATGCTTGATGATTAAAACTTAGTCTTCATGATAGTTGAATGTTTTGCTCATACTTTTCTTGATCCAATGCACAAATGTTGACTTCATCAAAACAACTAATTTTAAGAGGCTTGATTTTACAACAAGAAGAAAGAAGTTTATCGTGATCTACCTGGCCATGGTCGCTCGATATGAGATGGGTCCCATCTTCTCTATTTTTTATTACTCTGATAATCGTTGGATGTAGTGTTGATTCACATGCCTTTTGTATAATTCTCTGATAAGTTTTTTTTACTGCTTTGACTACTTGATATATGCGATTCTTTGATGGAGTGTGTTGTCAGATGCTTAAATGTTATGCTCTTGATACGAAAATTTCAAAACTTATTGTAAGGTTTCCAAATCGATTTGTATGATTTTCGAACAGAGAAACAGAGTATTTTATAAAACAAATAACGTGCTTTAGAACTGAAATTTATTTGTTTTCGATTGGAATTTTGGGTCACGATGTTTGAGTTTTTTTTCCAGTGTTTGGTTCAGTGATAAAGGAATAACACACACACACACATACAGTGAGAGAAAGAGAGAGAGAGAGAGAGAGAGAGAGAGAGAGAGAGAGAGAGAGAATAATTGATGTATCGCTGCTTCACCATACAAAAGTCAAATTTCGAAGCATAGTCAACATCGAATCATCTAAATCATACACAACATGATGCCAAAATTAATTTTCTTTATTATTTAATTTATTATGTGTTTTAATCGAATTAAATAAGAAAGTGCATAAAATAAACATCTACCGAATTTATGGTTTCGTAAGTGGCTCTGATACCATTTAAGGGAAATCGCGATCCAAAACGCAGCGGAAATTAAAATTTTCCCTTTAGTGATCCTTACGAGTGGACATGATTAGTGATAGAAGCTGTTATCTCTTGTGGTGATTAACAATTTTGATGCATATCCAGATGAATGATCACGAGCGTTGAATGAAGAACAACACCTCTACTCAGTTTACACAAACAGAGCGTCTTCAATCTCAGTGCTAGCTGCTACGAATGAAGACTTTGAGTGAGAGAGAGAAAAACGGTCAGGGTTTCACCAACTGAATTTCATCAAATTCTAAAACTTCTACACAAGGGTTGTATTTATAGAACCACTTGTGTTGGCTGCAAGCTAAAAAACCCAACTTAAGTGCACCATATAATAATAATAATAATAATAATAATAATAATAATAATAATAATAA